TCCTTTATTTATTTTCTCCATTTGAAAACATTAGACATTCTACATTTATTTTGCTTATTGTTAATATTAGTGTTGTTGCTGTTGATGCTTTTTATAAATAAAATGTTTTTTTATTGTTGTAATGTGAAGATTAAATTTAACATGAAAGACTGCTAATTTTCAACACTTTTTTTAAGATGACTGAAAGGAGGAAAAAACAAAGTGAAGTATGGACTTACTTCACTCAGTCATTTATTTACTTTATAACAGTAAATAAATATCGGTTCTGCATATCGGTTATCGGCCACATAAACATGCAAATAATTGGTATCGGTATCGGTTATAAAATATCAATTGATCACTATATATAATAAGCCACATCATATTTACAGCCTAATTATTAGGCGAAGTAACAGAACGTTTATCCATATTATGCTCTTGTTTACACCTGAACGTGATTTAAATACTATAATAATAATGGTGATTAATCATCCTGCACACTTACCTGTAGCTTTAGCCTGTTCTCGTGCTGGTCCGCCGGATGGCCATTTCTCAACTATTGCAGGTTACAGTCTGGTGGGAGTTTTCGGGCGCCGCAGCAACAAACAGATCCCAAGCTGATCTCATGTGTGTCCCAGCGACGCCATTGCTCAATTACACAATCCTGAACGCACCTCGACGTGACTAAGCTTATGGATGCAACGCGTAACAGCTTGTCGCTTCCTGAAGCGAAGGGTCACGTTATTGCATTAATATTAATAAGGCGAGCGGGAGTCTTTCCGCTGAACCGGGAGAGATCCGCTTCAGCGCCTCCGTCCTCCTCGGGTGTGTCACAGCCAGTGCAGAAGATATATTCAACACACGGCCAACGTACTGAGCACAGGCGCGCGGTTACAGCTTTCTTCCCGTAGACTGTATATGCTCACTATAAACAATGCCAGTTTAACCACAGTGACAGCCAAACTGCAATATCTGATCGCAAAGCGTCCAGTGTGTAATATATAACTGACGCACAGATGACAGACGGCAGTCCCTGCAGATCACAGCGAGTCGAGTGCGCTTTTTCTCTCGGTATTTGCATGAAGCTGGTCGTCTGTGCTGCTTCCGGTCTGAGTCCTGCTGCTGCTCTCCTGAAACCAGAGTGCCTTTTTATTTTTATTGAATGCTTGGAAAAAACAATAACTACGATTGTCATTGTCAAATCATAAAAATACAACATCAATAACACTCCAGGGTCCTTCAGTCTTGCAGAGGAAGTGCCAAGTCCTTCAACAAAGCCGTTGTACTTACTGCTTTTAAGAGAACTCAATAGATGTAAAATACATGTTCATTTCAAGTTTGAATCTTTAAAAAAAGAACATCACTTACAAACCCATTCCAGTAAGAGATTACATACAGACTCCTGAGACAAAACTCTGATTCTCTTACTGTTTTTTTTTTTTTTTTAAGCGGTCATATGATGCGATTTCAATTTTTCCTTTCTCTTTGGAGTGTTACAAGCTCTTGGTGCATAAAGAAGATCTGTAAAGTTGCAAAGACTAAAGTCTCAAATCCAAAGAGATATTCTTTATAAAAGTTAAAGGGGTCATATGATGCTTTTTTAAAGATCATTATTTTGTGTATTTGGTGTAACAGAATATGTTGACATGCTTTAATGTTCAAAAAACACATTATTTTTCAAATACTGTACATTATTGTAGGTCCTCTATGCCCCGCCTCTCTCAAACGCTTCGTTTTCTACAAAGTCCCTCCTTCCGACAAGCGCAGTCTGCTCTGATTGGCCAGCTGACCCAGTGCATTGTGATTGACCGAACACCGCAAGCACTCGTCGGAAATGTAACGCGTGGCTGACTCTTAACTTTGATAAAGAATATCTCTTTGGTTTTGAGACTTTAGTCTTTGCAACTTCAGGGATCTTATCTATGCACAATCAGCTTGTAACACTCCAAAGAGAAAGTAAAACTTGAAATCGCATCATATGACCCCTTTAAGAGTCAGCCACACTAAAACGACTCGTTCGAACACGGCCCCACATACCTACGTCACGATGTGGGAAGATTTGCATAACGCCGCCCAAATGTTCACGCAAAGAAAGAAGGCGTAACTTTAATTCTCGCTGTAGTATTGTTGTTGCCGCCGCCGCCATGTCGTGAAGACGCTGTGTTTCATTGTGAAAGCGAAACTACTTTGTTTGGCCTTCCAAAAGAGGACACGACTAGAAATCAGTGGTTAAGTTGTATTTACAACACTATTCCAGAACAGTTCAACCCAAAGGCGGGGCATAGAGGAGAAACAATAATGTACAGTATGTGGAAAATAATGTGTTTTTTGAACCTTAAACCGCATAAACACATTTCATTACACCAAATACACCAAATAATGTTCTTTTTAGCAGCATCATATGACCCCTTTAAAATAGATGATGAAAGGCACTGTTTGCTTACAAATGTTTTACATAGATCCACTGAGTGACAGGAGATTGGAAGAGAAAGACCTCTAAAAGGCATGAGATCTCCCATGTGGCACTGCATCAGCAACAGCTTTGCATGAAACCAGATTCAGTCAGGCACCAGTTCTCTTCTGATCAGATGAACAAACACAGTGTGATTCATGATTACATACTGCAGAATGAACCAGATTTGTGGACTGATGGACATCACTCATTTTCCTATTCGAGAGTTTTGTGTCAAAGGCAGCACTAAGATCTGGTAACACTAACAAAGAGATGCATCCTTCAGAAAGAAATGGTCTGAAGCCTGACTGGAGTTCCATGCAGATACCATTTCTTTCTAAAGAAGGAGCATAGTTGTGAAAATAACTCTAGTATTTTGATAGAAAAGAGAGATTTGGAATCGGTCTGTAGTTAGCTTATCCTCTAGAAAGGAGTTGTGGTCGTGTGATCCTCAGGAGGTCATCTGACGGCCAACGATCCACAGGAATTCATCAAGAACTGTGTGGTGTGGAGGCTGTCATCAACCCTAGCAAGAAGCTAACTCTCCAGCACCATCATATATATATATACAGCACTGCCACAGAAGACACGTGCTTTAACTGCTCTGTGTGTTATAATGGTTTGATGTATATATAAGAGTTTCAATAGGTTTGCATGTTACCTCAGTCATTTTGGTCCATTTTATTCCACTTACCATTTTATGTCTTGAAATGATAGCTGGTATTCAGGAAATTAACAGAAAATTAACTAGTATGAAGGAGGTTAGCATGACAATCAAATAAATACTAAAAACAACTGTGCCGGTGAATCCACTATTCTGGATTGAGGAGTTAACATCTTGTGGACTCACCTTTCCAGACACACACACACAAAAAAAAAGGCTTTGAAACGATTTCACTCAGAAATTGCTAGTAAATTTCACAAGTAATTACAAAGAAACGGCAAGTAAAACATTGAATTAAACATTTTAAAGTACCAAGACTGAAAAATTATATTCTTGTAAAACGTACTACAATAATCTTTGTTTTATTTACATCTTTGGAAAAAAAATAAAAATAAATGTATATATATATATATATATATATATATATATATATCTCCGCCGGTCTGCCAGCGCCGAGGAAAAGGCCAGTGAGCACAGCTTGACTTGGAAACTGAGCGCTCCTTAGATATTCTTACATAAACTTGAACATAGCCTTAAGTCTTGTAAATAACATCAGAATAAAGCATATAAAGCAATTCAAAAGTCAAAAATGAAAATGAACCTACCGTACTCTAGTATTGCTGAAATATGATTGGACAAAAGCTCTAATATAAACATACACAACTGGAAGCAGCGCCACCAAGAGAAAGGCTATGAAATGAAGAGAATAGACTATTGGGAATAATTTAATACACATTCAAGGAAAAACTATATTAAAACTAAGTCAGTGATTCTAAAAGTGGGGGGGCTGACGGGGGGTGGGGGGTGTTGATGAATGCAAAATAAACATCTTTTTCGGATGTAAGCTTGAAAACGACGTCTTACCATATTGCAACACATCAAAGCAGTCAATAGAACACAGTCAAGAATAACTTAAAGAGGTTGCCAACGTTTCCAAAACAGTGGACTAGCTTTGACTCTTGCTGCTGATTTGAATGCAGATTCAAAGGGAAGGGGGGGCACAGTAACTCATTTTGGGGGGACAAGGCCCGTGAATGCCCCCCTTGGCACCGGCCCTGTTACCAAAGGACTATATTCTGTCATAAATCGCATACCATTCATTCCTGAACTTTCTACCGTCCATAACTGGAAATTAAATGACTGGTTAATATGTCCCGATCTCAATAAAGTTTACGCACACTTTTGGTCCATGAACTAGATCTCGCTCAGGACGCACGCTGTCTGTGGGGGTTTGGTCAGGGCCGGTTCCAGAATTAAATCACTGAGGCTGCTCTCACTTATATTTTTTGTCCCGTCCATTGCTATGGTTATCACCGTCAATCACTGCTATTTCGAAAGTGTTATAACACTTAATCATCTGATCAAAACAACACAATATGTTAGTCACACACAAAAGCGCAGTGCCGCGTCACGTCTAGGACAACACAAGCGGCGGCCTAAAACAGTTTATTTAATCACCAAATGGGCAAAAGTTCACTTCAAGAATGATCAAAGCGGCACAGATGAGTTTGAAGTTCGGTGTTTCAAAAAACAGAGCAAGCAGAAAGAGAAAGTGTGATCTATATTTATAGCTCTCTATATGAAGCACACAGACTTTATTAGAGCCACAGAAAGACAAACGTTTCGCTGAAAAAATGCACAATACACAATTTTACAGGCTAGGGTGAAGTCTTTATGTACATTAACAACGATTTGGGACAAATATAATGTAATTTATTGGAAAACTATGTGGCGCGGCAGAATTTCTTTCAGCTGTATTCATATCAATGTGCTTTCTCACATCACAGCTTTAAATCTGCAACTTCGCTGGATAACAAACGCATTAAAGTGACCAGCTGGATATAAACTAATGCAAATAGATGTTAACAATCTTAAAATTAAGCATTTGCGTCAGACTTGCATGTGTTTTGGGCACATTGTTTTAACCGCTTGAGGTGCTGCTAATGTTCGCGTCCTCTCAGCCTTGATAGCAAACATACTGCTGTGCTTTCTCCACTAATGCAGCATCTAGTCAACAAATTAATTACTTAGTAATGATATGATAACATGTAGTGTAGTGAACTGTAAACACACCGTTTGTTGTCCGTTTTAAATCTGAATTGTCCCACTCTGTGCAGTGCAAATTTCGCCTCTAGAGGGTGCTCTCGCTTTTGTACTGTATAATAAAGCAAAGGACGGCAACCCAGAAAAACTATCGGCATGGATTAAAATATATTTTCACTTTGTATTAATCAAGATCACTGCTCAAGCGCATAAAGATGCCGTGTCACATGGTACATGTTACTTTTCTCAGCGAGGAGCGATGAGTCATTCAACCCGGAAGTTCGCGTCCTCTCAGCCTTGATAGCAAACATACTGCTGTGCTTTCTCCACTAATGCAGCATCTAGTCAACAAATTAATTACTTAGTACTGACATGATAACATGTAGTGTAGTGAACTGTATACACACCGTTTGTTGTCTGTTTTAAAACTGAATTATCCCACTCGGTGCAGTGCAAATTTCACCTCTAGAGGGCGCTCTCACTTTCGTACTGTATAATAAAGCAAAGGACGGCAACCCAAAAAAACTATCGGCATGGATTTTTGCCGATAGCCGATAGTTCCAGCAATCAACTATCGGTGCCGATTAATCGGCAAAACCGATCAATCGGTTGACCTCTAGTTTGAACATCTCATGATGTTATATTTGTGGGTCTACTGCTGAGTGTCTGTACTTTCCTGACTAGCTTGTCCAGGCTTAAGGTCATTGTGTTTCATCACATCATCTCTATTGTCAGCGGCGGCTGCAGGTGTGGTGATAGTCACACACAGTTCGTACTGAAAACCTAGAGCAGCTATTTGAACCATCACCAACAATCCCTGATGTGTTTGTTCTTATTTTGTCCTGCGAGTCCACATTTAAAGTGGCTTCATCAGTCTTCTGGTTCTCTGG